TTATCCAATTATCTACATGCCAAATGTTGTTTTTCTATTTAAAGAGAACAATCAAATCCCAAAAAAGTTAATTTCTCTCCTAGTCTAGTACACTGCTTTAGTATTTGTTTAATTGAGTCAAGAGTGTAATTCCATTATTGATTGAGTTGCCAACCAAAACCAATTAATCAAAGGAATATATATATATATATCTTGTTACCAATAGAGACAACATTCCGCATTGTTAGGTCCAATAGTATAACACAAAGAAAAACAATAAACAACAAGTGGATTAGAATTCACGAATTGACGATGAATAAAATTTTGTAGTTAAATAACAAAAAATTCATGGTGTATTTGATACTATGGTGTTATTTGAATTAAATTATTGACGGCAATAATATTTTTTGACCAAATTATTGACTGTGGACATTTTTATCCAATTTCACATTGTTTAAAGACTTTTTAAAAAATAATTTCTCATCATTATAATGGTGTGATTAGTATGTTCTCAATACTTTCATATTTAACTGATCAAACTTTTTTTTTTAATGGAAAATATTAAAGATTGGTTTTACTCTTTATATTCTCTTTTTAAGGATGATAATGGATTCAACGAATCAGTTGATGACTAGGGCAGACTACAAGTTTTTTAACATTATTATTAAAAAAGAATTACTTATCGTGACGGTTCAACTTTTACAAGTGAAATGTTATGGTAATATGTGAAATTTAATTTATTTGTAGAAATTGAAACTACTGAATATTGTTTAACTACAAAAGTTGAAAAGGGACAATTTATAAATTTCTACTCATTTATTTTGACAAGTAAATTATAAGTACATGCTTCAACTAACTTAAGGCACATAATTAGGCCACACATAATTACATATTTCTTTTTATTTCTTTGTCACTTGATGGTGTTTACTATCCATTTTAAGGCATCAATTATATCACATAAAAGTCATTAAATAAGAGAGATTCTTTCTATCAAAATGAAATTATTTTCAAAATTTTAATCTGAAACCACTAATTAAAAATCGTACATATTATTAGAAAATCAACAAATGGCAAATGTTGTTTTGCTACTACTTAATTAATCATTGGTTAAAAGGCTATACCTTTTACTATCTTTTAAGCTAGTTTGACCCAAATTTAAATAAGAGCAACTTATAACAATGACTATATTTATAAAATTGATGAAGTTCAATAGCTATAAGTGTGTTATTTACAATAAATGACTTTTCCTTTAAATAAACACATTATTGCTCTGAATCTAGTGGGAATAAAGTGGGGAAAAAATGGTCAATAATTATGCTCTAGACAATATCATTATTTTAGTGAGTTGACCATCAAATCTTATCGTAAAATGCCAGGTGGTTATGTATCAACAGTGATAACTAACTGATTGCTTAAATAATTACTATGTTTAGATTAATATTTTATGTATTATCCTTCCATCATGAACTAACAGATAATCGTCACTTTGTTAAACCGTCCACCCATTAACATAAAAATACTGCATTGTCATCTTATCACCAGACTACCATTTTATTTAGGAAAAATTAGTGAAATCCAATCTTTTGGTTTACTTATTACCATTATTTTTTATAAGTTTTACAAATCTTCAAAATCTCTCATTTTCGCGCATCAGATTAGTGTATTAGCGCTTATATTATTGTATTTCGCGCATCAAATTAATATATCAGCGCTTATATTATTGTATCTCGCACATCAGAATCAGATTAATGTATCAATGCTTATATTATTGTATCTCGTTCATCAAATGTATCATCGTTTATATTATTGTATCCGTTTGAAGGATTTCTGTAATTATAAACTTTTAAAGGATAAATTGTAATTTTACCTTAAAAGTATGTGATTTCTGTAATTTACCCTTTTATTTATGTATAGATTAAAAATAAACATGCTGTTTTTTTCTTATTTTAATACCTTGTGTACTTTGGGAAAAATGAAAAGATTTTATGGTTAAACCGCGTTTTCTAAGCTTTCGATATTTTATTTAAGGGATCTTTATTTAACTGTTCTTTTCCTTGTATAAAAGACAATCATTAAACTTATAACTGTAATGGATCATAAAGACACTGATTTTTTTTTAAAAAAATGATTGACTTGTACGGTTGTGCCCTTCGGGGTGGCCAAGTGGTTTGGGCTTGGGACTTTCATAATGAAGGTCTCAAGTTCGAAGCAGCTCCTTGCCAACGAAAGCAAGGGGTTTGCCTTCTGGGTTGAACTTGTTGCACCAGGCTTGCCTAGTGCGGGTTAATTACCTCTCCTATATGGTTTGCGAGTTGCAAATTTCCCTTGTCATAAAAAAATAAAAAATAAAAATGATTGACTTGTAGAATGAATGGAAGCGAAAATTGCAACTAAAACTTTCTCCTATAACGATTATTATGGAACACTAAACCATATCTCACTTAAGTTAAAATAATACTTGATTAAATTTTTCTTCGATCGCTATTTACACGGTATGATCTATAGAAATATCAAATACTAGTGAACATATTTTAACATTCTCACGATGTTTTCAATTAGTAATTATGCAAGATTATCACTCCTTAGTTTGAGTTAGTTTAAATCTTCATATTTTTACAGACGAATTGAAATTTTATTCCATTTTAAAAATAAATAAATTGAGGGTCAACAATACTAATTAGAGATAAAACAAAGACATATTTTAGGTTGGGAAAATTGTATATAATAGCAAACTATTAATTCAAATTAAATGCTATAAATATAGTTTGATTTAATTATACCTCATAGCAAACTGTTGCTATTTCACCTCTCTCCTGGTGAATCTCGCTCGCCACTCTCGTTCTCTCCCTCGCCTCTCTCGTTCTTTATACATACGCAAGTGTATAAAGTGCGTTTGTGTTTGTATAAAGCGAGAGAAAATTGTATATATATATACATATATTTTCGTTTCCCTCTCCCAGATCTCGCTCTCTCACTCGCCTCTCTCACTTTATACAAAAAATGCAAATTGTATAAAATGCATTTGTGTTTGTATAAAGCGAGAGAAAATTGTATATATATATATTTTCGTTCCCCTCTCTCCCCTCTCTCAGATCTCACTCGCCACTCTCCCGAATCTCGCTCTCTCACTCGCCTCTCTCACTTTATACAAAAACGCAAATATATAAAATGCGTGAAAATTGTATATATACATATATTTTCGTTTCCCTCTCTCCCCTCTCTCAGATCTCGTTCGCTCACTGGCCTCTCTCACTTTATACAATTAATCTTTTTGTATATGTATATCAAAGCAGATTATACAATTGTTTTCTTTTGTATATGTATAGCGAAATATACATATTTATGTTTGCTATGAAGCGCAATTATGCAAACTTTGCTATAGCATACAAATATGAATTTTGTGTTTGCTATATGTGAAAGTTGCTCTTTTAGGTTTGATGGAGTACTGACATCATTCTATATAATTATTGTTTTATAGAATTTTAATAGTAGCTTATTATTTTGTAATATTTGAATGATATTGTTTGTTTGATAAGAATAATAATGAGTATAAAAATTAGCATAATTTGAATACAAACAGATATACAAGTAGTTTTTTTTTAAAAAAATAATAATGAAATATTAGCATAAATATGGTTAGCTTTACTGGAATAGTATATGTTGTTACTTTTTTATATATTATTAGTATGTATACAGTTATTTTTTCTGATAGAAATATTGGTAAATATATTACGTAGTTTGATTGGAATATAATATTAATAGATAAACTTAAATAATTAAGTTTCTTATTCTATGAATTTTTCTCTCAAACTTGGGGATCTGCTTGCTGAAAAAATGCTCTGATGATGCAAATGTAATAATAACAGATTTGTATGGAAGAATATTTATGAAATCTCACAAAAAGTCAAGATGTGTACGTAAGGAATATAATTGTTTTTAATTGATATGTTAGGATACTCCTACTTTTTTTTCTTTGGGATAGAAGTTCTTTTGTAATTGGTTTGGTTTTTATTATAATATGTTTAGTGATGATAGAGATGAGTCAAATGAACAGATTAAGTTGGATTTGAAAATGTCAAAATAAGTTGAACTAATAAATAAATAGAAAAATAATTTATTTTAATAAGAAATAAAGTTAAGTAAGTTTTGAGAATAAAATATTAAATAAATTAATTTCTAATAAATTCTCTTAATTTAAGTTCCTTTTTAACTTAACCTTGTGATATCAATCTTGTTAAACACGTAAGATTCGCAAATTTAGAAATTACTTGAGTCTTTGGCTGAAAGCCCTTTTCCCTATTAGTGGACAACAACAAAAATTAAAAAATGGCGGACACTGCATTATTAGTGACCCCATTTTCAATCAGAAAAAAAAAAAAGATGCTAAAATTGATAAACGCACCCCAAAGTAATTTGTGCCTATAGATGTTATGATATTTCTTCTTTTATATTGTTTTTCTAAATCGTCGATCAATGTTGTCTAATGTTATTCTATTGCAATTAGTATAGTAGAATTTGCATTATGAACATAAAAATATTGAGTCATTCATTCATAATTTTAAGTTTATTTTTATTTCCACCGCGTACCATGAAAGAAGAAAAAAAAAGCTTGGAAAAATCATGTTACGAAAGATTCCCTATTTAGCATTAAGGTTCTAAAATTAGTATGTGCAATACCTAAATTATCCCTCTTAAAACTAACACACCATTAATCTCATAAGCTTCATTAAGTAATTGCACTAAGATCATCCATATTATTTAATTCAAGGTCGTTTGGTTCGAATAAAAGTTATGCTTAAATTAGTTTAAGTTATATTGAGAGTAGAGGTTAAATGTTCTACGTGGAATATTACAAGGCTAACAATGGAATTAAACAAGAATATAAGGACCAAAATAGTTATTTTCCCTTTGCATAATTCAATTTTCTTCTCTTTTTCTCTGATGAATTTTGAATGCTCCCTAAACAGTAAACACGACGTAAGAGTGACTTTGCTTTGAGCCCGACGTCCCCACCTCGAAAAATGGAACTATCGGCAATAATGTCGCCGGCGAACTACCCGGAAAGAAGTTGTAGTTATTCTCAAGCAATTACTCTTACAAATCGCCGCCAAATAGTTCAGAGTCGCAAATTAAAATACGTTCGAACAACTTCCCCTTCTTTGAAATTATCCCCAGTGATTACGGATTGCGACAATGCAGAAGTCATCGGTGCAAGAGAGTGCAAAGGGAAGGAATGGATTCACTTTGTCGGCGTTGGAGGTTGTGGTTTGTCCGCTCTCGCCATGCTTGCTCTCAAACAAGTATATATTTTCTGTCACTCACACTATTTATATTTGGTGGCTAACTTCTCTTTTCTATAAATTTCGTAATTGTAAAGTTGTGAATGTGATGTTACTTGCTCTGGAGTTTCAGAAACGTTAATTTTATTTGCCAGTGATTATGAAATCGTGGAGTTTCAGAAATGTTAATTTTATTTGCCAGTGATTATGAAATCGTGTTTGAATTGAGACACAAAATTGAATGATTTGACTATGGTACTCCAAAACCCTGTCTTATTTTTTTGGGATGGATGAAGTAACTTTCTCAATTTCATAAAATAGCTTGTGATACCTCCCTCAACTCTTAGGGGTGATTTTGTTGGCTGTAGAAAGAGAACTAATCATGGCATAAATGCTCATAATTAATACAACATGTGTTTTGCAACATAAAACTCAGCTTTGCAATATATAACTCAGCATGCAACATTTGGTATTAAACAATCCAAGCTTGTATTAGTATCCATCGAATAACAATTGCATAACTCCTACATTATTATTAAGCACATAACAATGTTATGTATCATAGCCTTTGCATGCTAATACATGAATCAAACGACGCATTATTATTTGGACAAACAATAATTGTTACTCTTCTTTCTTTCTTCCATTTCCCATCTAATGGTAGGTTAGAATTAAATTGAACTGAATTTGGAAACACACTAGGGTTATGAGGTCAGTGGTTCTGATATGACGTGGAGCGATGCCATGGACGCATTGCGAGAAGCAGGTGCTCGAGTGTATATTGGCCATTCTGAGCTTAATTTGAGAAAGAATAATGGGTTGGTGCCTGATTCCCTTGTTGTGTCAAGTGCTATTCGTGGGGGCAATGTGGAGATTTTACATGCCGAGTCTGTTGGAATACCTGTGTGAGTATGTTAATCTTAACTTTTTGATTGAATTTCTGTTACCGAAGTTAGACTTGGACTTAGATAGTGATATTCTGTTCTTGTAGGTACAAGCGAGGAGCTTGGTTGGGTAGGATCACCAAAGGTTACAACCTCATTGCTGTCAGTGGGAGCCATGGTAATCTTACTTCTTTTGTGTTTGTGGGGTTATTGTCAATATGTGACAAATCTATTCGATGCCAAACTTTGCTAAACATGGACAATGTTATGATTTTTGACAAGACTCAATATTTGCTTGTATTTACACGGAAGTCTGAAATATGAAGAAAATTCCCTGAGGTGTATGCATTTGTGTTAGCCGACTTCTCTTGGGTGAATCTGTTGTTTGAAACGCATGTGCAATTGTACTTGTGTTCAAAATCAACGTAATTATGTACAGAACTGAACATTTTATGAGATCTTGACTAGAATCATGATGTAATATCGTGTTCCCAAGGAATCTGAAATAAGAGGAACTTCACTATCTTGCTTGTAGCGTAAACCATTTTGCATTTTCGCTTGTGTTAGTCAGCTCTGCCAAAACCTTGGAACTCTCCTGCTTTATTAGCTTAGCAATTTGATCCATGGGAACACTTCTTGGCGGAATGTGTATCTGCTCTGGTTTTTGTGCATACTCGACTGTCTTGCTCCAACATAGGTGTGAAGAAGGATTCAAAGCATAGAGTATTCAAAAGAGAGAAGAACAACACCATTGACTGAAGGGGTTATTCCGAGAAAGAGAGAAGACGAGATTTAGGCAACATTTTGAAGAAGAGAGTTTCAGGTTTCCTATAAGCAAAAAACAATGTTACTAATGAACTATTGTGTTATTAGCAAATTAATAGGTAAAATTCATGTTATGAGTTGCGTAGAACTTTTAAGGCCTGATAAGATGTTTGGCTTTGAACTCTATGATATCTATCAGCTGAGACTGATTCTGGAAGGTCTTTGGCTGCTGTCTATTATTTAGTCTGGTAATTTGATCTACTCTTGTTTCAGCCTTTTTTAACACCAAAATTTCACTTCTCGTGCTTTCTGTTGATTTATTGACCAATGCAGGGAAGACTACCACAGCTAGTATGCTTGCTTTTGTATTAAATGCAATGGGGGATGATCTTACAGCTGTAATTGGGGCTCGGGTACCACAGGTAGGTTCACTCTGCATCTTCGTATGAAGTTTCTCTTGATATGCCCATTGGGAGTTTGTCAACAGTCCTTGCAGGTCGATAAGTCGATTTTTGTTCACATTAGAGCATTTGAATCTACTGTGGGTTTTTCCATTCACACACAAAACTTACTTTTGACGTAATTGCCTTCTGCAGCTTGCTGAAAGAAACATCATCTGTGGAACTGGTTGCAACTTTGTACTGGAGGTATCCAATCCTTTCACACCTCTTTTCTTGTATCTGGTTGTTTGCATGCGTTTGTTTTTCTTTGTAAAATTTTAAGAGATAGAAAATTATTATAATTGTTATTTCTGTAAGTCTAATCTATGTTCTTTCTAATGTAGGCTGATGAATATGACTGTTGCTTCCTTGGAGTAACACCTCAAATAGCTGTGGTAACAAATGTAGATTGGGAACATGTAGACATGTTTCAAGACGAGGTTAGTGATTCACTGCTTGTAGTGTCTGCCATGTACTAAATTTGATTTATTTGGTGTCTGGAATGACCAGATTATCATCAGATTGTTTCTGTCTAATCTCAGGAAGCAGTTAAAACTATTTTCAGGAAGTTCATAGGTCAGATAAGGGTTGGAGGACATTTAATTTTATGCGGTGATAGGTATATATTGATAACTTTCCTTACAAGGTTGATACATTTCATGGATTGAGTGGATTTAGCATCAAATTTCTTACTCAAATAGAAACTTGTTGAAGATTTCACACAAAAAAAAAATCTCATTTTTCATAGGAAACATCTCCCCGAAGGAGAACAATCAACTATGCCATATTCTTTTTACAGCAGAAAATATACGCCTGCTGCTACTTTGTTGGTCATTGTCCTTTAGAACAGTACTCCGAAGATATTATCCACGTACTATGCAGAGTTCAATGACTACAGTTCTTATAAAATCATTTCTCAACCAACCTGTGGATGCTGCATCTATGAGGATATGGAACATTAATCCATAACCAGAAAAGTGAACTTATTAGTTGTCCTCTGATACCTTGATCATTCTATTACAGAAGGTCTCATTTATGTTTTACAAACTATCATTTGGTGGCTTATGTATCTTTAGTTATAGATCACATAAATTGATCTCATTCTGAGGCTAACAAAGGAAATATCAAATTTTCATGTCTAACGTAGTTACCAACAATGATTTTCTGATTGGATTTACAGTCCGGTTGCATGTTCTTTGGTCAACAAAACGGACTCAGGCTCTGCTCTTCCAGTTCTTCGCAATGATGCATTCCAGATTTCAACTTACGGAATTTCTAGTTGTAACGATTGGCATGCCGTATCAATATCCCCAAACTCTTGTGGGGGTAGTGACTATCAGCTGGTAAGTACATTTGTTCTTTAGAATATATAGCTCTAGATGAAATCTACTAGTCTATGTAAAACTGAAATAAGTTCATTAGTTCTTAGAATTATTATCTGAAAATAACATACAGGGAACTTGTACGTAGCTTATTCCTAAGGAAGTGAAAATGCTTTGCTAATTCTGCACGTGCTTTGTACTTCAGTTGGCAACTCTAGGCTGCATGATCATAAATTCACTTGTCAAGAAAGTGTAAGAGCAACTTAATATAACTCTACGTAAGATGGATCATTAATTAAGTCTTCCTCTACAAATCTGTAAATTATTTTCTCCAGAGTCCAATTCAAAACAATTTCTTATTTCTGTTTCTTTCAAAGACTATGAAAGAATGCAACAACTCACAATAACGTGAACATTTGGGAGGTAAGCTCCTTTCTTGCTCCCTCCATCCCCAAAATAACCAATACAATTTGGGGTACTTGGAAAAAGGATCAAAGAGTCAACTTTCCGAATTTCCAACCCAATACCAAACACCAGAAAATAAATCATGCTTTCGGTCATTACCAAATGCACTCTGAAATTTGAAAAAGACATTGTATATTCAGTTGTGAACTGGGACGTTTTAATTTGAAAATTTTAGTCACAGTTTTTATTTGGAGTAGGGATCATATAACTAGAACGAACAAAAAACAAACATTAGATCAAATAAATATGAAGTAGACCAGGTTCTGATATTCTTTTTGATTCTGAATCTTCACGTGACTTAATATGAGTGCTTGACCTTATTCCATCTCTAGAATTTTGCAGCACGGTTACAGTGTCACTTCAATTGAGTTATTATACTTTCTCCATTTGATTTTGGAGGACCCGAATTTGCTTGTAGATTAAAGAATATATATTGACAACAAATAGGTTCTAGGTCTTGTGAAGAAACTTTGTTTTATAGGGAAATTGTCAATTCCAACTTTTTGTTTCTGTTAACGAATTTGAAGCTTTACAAGTTCTGTATGGTGCACACTGCACAGTATTCTTGCAGAAAAAATGCAAAAATATAATGCCATGTAGAGTAATTTTTTGCTGTTTTCTATTCATACCTACTCTCTGAATTATTTGAAGCAAGTGGCGTATGGAATACCTATTATTCTCGTGCATGTATGTAGTCTAAAGATATTATTTCCTTATTCCAGTTTCACAAGGGACTTCATATTGCGGACATCAGCCTACAGATGCCTGGAGTCCACAATGTTCTTAATTCATTAGCAGTAAGTATAACATTTAATTTTTTTTTGTTTTATCAGTGTAAGTAGACGTTTAAGTAGCAGAACTATTTTCTCTTTTCTATGATCTTTACTCAAATATTATAGGCTATTAAGAATGCCAGTACAGCCAATCAATTTTAACTTCTTGATACATCAACGGGGTCCAAAACTGGAATAATTTGTTGGCTTCTCGTGATTATATCATAGTTTAGGCATCTGTATTCGAAGAAAACATGGTTTAGCTTGCTAAGTTGTTTCATTTCCCCACTGCAAGTAAAGAAAATTTTGGTTGAGTTCTGTTGCTGCTTTGAATATCCCCACTGGCAGGTCATTGCAACAATCAGTGCTCTTTCCACGGATCAGAAAAACTTTCTTAGTTCCATTGCTTCTTTGAAACTACACTTGCAAAATTTTGAAGGTGTTTCTAGACGTTTTGAGAGGATAGGTACAGTCCGTGGGTGCCATATATACGATGACTATGCTCACCATCCCACCGAAATTCAAGCTACTATTCAAGCAGCACGCCAGAGGTTTCCGTTTCAAAAACTTGTAGTAATATTTCAGCCTCATACATACAGGTATATACAAAGAGTATTCTCCTTCCAAATTACAATTACATTGATTGCACAATGCTTGAAATTTTCAGAATTTGCAGTCGTCTAGCAGCATTGAAAGATGACTTTGCTATTGCATTCACTAATGCGGATAGGGTTGTGATTACAGAGGTATTACCATTTTTGAATTCCAATGGTAAAGCTCCTTAAGTTAATGTTGTTATCCCCTTTTTCTATCTTGGCTAAGGAGATGTAATTTGTTTCTGCTGCAAGATTTATGAAGCTAGAGAAACAAATCTGTGGAAGATCAATGGCCGCGATCTTGCAATATCTATAGTTGACCCACCATCTGAGTTTATCCCTTCCCTGGTATGCCGTAACTCACTGCATCTAAGAAAACTTCCTCACAGTTGTATATGTTGGGTTGCCAGGAATTTTGCTGTGATGTCCTTGTAGTTACAAATGTTTTGAACATGAGAATAATCAAGTCTAATTTCACAAAATACCGACTTCCTATTCTTAGGTCTCTAATGAATAAAAGGAAAATTATCTTCGTGAAATGTGATGGTAGGAAAGAGAGGGAAGCTTCTCTTTCTCTAGATAACCATATTTATTGCCATTGTTCTAAGAATACCACATCAATTATAGTACTGCACAAGTCAACTTGTGTTTCATCTTGGTTAACCCCCCCTCTCTTTATGGTGTTTAACTTAACAGATACAAGTGCTGGAAATGCTGGTTGTTCATATATCCAAGGATCCCGATCATGAAACTGTCATCTTGACCCTAGGATCAGGTAGACATTCTGATTTCCCTGAGAGAAAAACCCTTGCATAGCATTTGTCCATTGTCTAAGGAGATCATTCTTCACAAGATGGACGAAAAGGAAAACATGAAAACAAAGAAGGGAATATCAATTGTAAAAAAAAGACACGAATTTTAGGCTTCTTATTTATGAGATTTGATATTGACATCTCTTTTTCAGGAGACATAACTTCAGTGGGTCGTAAACTACTAACTGAATTGCAGCACAGATTGCTATAATGTACTGCTTCACGAGACTGGCAGCTAACTCAGATGTTTATAGCCTTCACGAGACTGGCAGCTAACTCAGATGTTTATAGCCTTCACATATAATTGGCTAAATTTGAAGCCGAGGTTCTAGAGCTGTGCACATTCATCTGCATTAAATATAAGGCGGCAAGCCTGACCTAATGATAGAGAATCTCGTCATGCAGATATGATGATCATAATGTTCAATTGCTTGTGATGTTTGCATCCATTGATTGCTTTCCCTACTGCAGAAAAACTCACCATTCTGGGAACAGACCCGGTCAATGATACAGAAGGGGTGGTGTAAGAAAGCACTCAATTGCACCCCAATAGTAATTCTTGAGCCCTATCGGCTCACCTCCCAGCATCACTGATCGTCTTGATTCTTGAGTATGTAACAGTACAGTTCCTCCCTTTATGGACCGCCTCCTTAGATAGGAGAGCCTTTGAAGGTTTAGGACAGCTATGTACATTTAAAGAATATCTCCTCATTTCTAGTTTCTTGTTGGTGCATTTATTAATACAGAAGACAGCTCGTCCTTTGTAGAGAATGATATTGTGTTGTAGATCATCAATTTTTGATTTTACTACTTGGTTAAGGGGGATATCCAAATTATTAATAGAAATATTTGCCTTAGCAAAAAAATGATCACTATTCACCTCCTTGGTTTCTTTTTGTACAGCAGGAGCTTTGCCTTGTGCAATATTGTTGTACACTGTAATCTATTCTATTCAATGCTTATGGAAGTTCAAACAGGTTCTGTTTCAATAGAAGCACTATGCATATCAACATCTAATGAGCTGGCTGCAAAGAGGCTACATACTTCTCTCACTAACACAGGTATTTACACCCACAAATATCTAAACTTACCACTGCTGAGGGAAACTTATATAAAATCTACTTGTGAGCACTGATTTAAGAGTGATTCCCCAGTACATGCATAGCAAGCAAATAGGCAACAGAGTGAAGATCACAGACTGGACTCAAAGCAAGAGTAAGTAACTCAAATTTAGATTGGAGGAGAGGAGGAAAAATCACATTTTGCGCAGACGCACATGACATAGTTTTCAACTCAAATCCAACAAAAACAAAACAAGTGCACTAATCTTCAACTATCCTACAAACAGAATCCTGAATAGTAACAAAGGAAGAATGCAAACGTTTAACTCTCTACTATACACAGTTTTCTTGTCTCAGAGAACCTTCCAAAAAACATGATCAAACAATTACAGAAAGCTTACCAAAACCACTACTAAGAAGAGAATCATCAAGCTATCGTCCAAAAAAGGAGAAAAATCCACGTTTCTTTGGCTCCTCCTCCATCATTACAGTCTCCATACTATCTTGCTCCACCAACCTCCAAGCTGCTTGCTCAAATGCCAGACCTGCCAAAGCTGGTGGCTTGTTCAACACAAGCGGATAACCTCTGTTAGTACTTCTAATAACTTCGGAATCCTCAGGTATTACCCCCAACAATGGAAGCCCCAGCATTTCCTGCACATCCAATACAGACATCATATCTTCCCCTTTTATCATATCAGTCCGAACCCTGTTCACAATCATCTTGATATCCCTTATTCCATCACATTCTAACAATCCTGTCACTCTATCAGCGTCTCGTAAGCTGGTGATATCTGGCGTTGTCACTAGTACAGCCTCATTTGCTGGAGTTATAGCCGTAATGAACCCAGCATCAATGCCAGCTGGGCAATCAATGATAATGAAATCCGGACCACCTTCATCACGAGCTTTTAGGGCATCCACAAGCCAAACCAAAGCTTTCCCACCAAACCCTATCGGCAATTTGGATCTGGGCTTGGAAATACACAGCAGCTCGAAATTGGACCACCGCTTATCACGTACAAGAGCCTGATCAAGTCTGCAATCGCCGTTGAGAACCTCGACAACAGTATAATTAACCCGGTTTTCTAAGCCCAGGAGGAGGTCAAGGTTGCGGAGACCAACATCGCAATCAATGGCGACGACAGAGAAGCCGAGCCGAGCTAATGAAAGACCGATGTTGGCGGTGGTAGTAGTCTTGCCGACGCCGCCTTTGCCTGATGTAATGACGACGACTCTCGGGGTATCTCCGGCGAGTTGAGGCTTGCGGTTGTACTGGAGCATAGAATGGATGGAAGGGTATAAGTTTCTAGAAGGCCTGAAGGCGAGAATGGGTTTTAGGGTTTTGGGGGATAAGGAATTGGGAGGGGTAAAGGAAGAAGAGTAGAGAGATGAGGATTTAGGGTTAGAGAGTGGCTGCAGAGATAACATTTTTGTGTAGAAGAATGAAAAGAGAAGAGTGGTGTTTTGGTGAAAGAGAGGAAACTTCACAGGAACATGTTTGATGTCTTGAATGGAGAAGAAGACGGCACTGGAATTGAAAAAGGTAAGATATCTTTCTTGCACAGGTAGGTTGTTTAAACCCGAATCGAAATCGATGACCCGAATCGAAAAAAGTTATTGACTTATTGGTTTAGCAATTTTGGTAGTGGTTTAATTCTTTTAATATTAAATTATCAATTCTTAACGGTTAATCGATAATAAATTATCTTTATATTATTGTGTATATGAAATTAAGGTTTAGTTTCATACTTTCATTTTTGTTTGTCGCTAACTGTTGAGTGTCTACAATACTATCATATATCAGTTTTTGCTTTTGAGCTAAGATAAAATATGTCAAATTTATGTTCATGATTTATTTGTTTGTCACTTTATTTTTAAGTGATTTTAATGATTTTTTATGTGAAATTTTAATGATTCAATTGATAATGATCAATAAGTTGAATCAGTAGACTTCAAAATTGAATCGATCTATACGTAATCCTACTACTCTTAATTCCTCTTATGCTTTTGTGGTTATTTGTGTTTGTTCTTATTTTTAAATAAGACAAATATATGAATGAGTCATTTGTGTATCTATAAGAATGAAAATGAGGAAATTAAAGATGTAGGTTTTGACTTGTATCTATAGCCATGAGTGCTACCCCTACCCCCTCAAGAGACTTGGAAAGATGTGATTATGTAGGATATAGTGTATTTGCACATGATTGAGAATATGATTTTAGATAAAGAAAGTACAAAGATTGTGTATAAGGCAGAAGGTTAGTAGATAGTTGAGAGGTGTTCTTATTTCTAGCCTATTTTAGTTTTTGGCTGAGTAGAGCTACATGTCGGTCATAGTATTAGCATATTCACGTAGTGTTTGATTTCGAGTTTCCAATTATCTTATGTGGTTTATTGTGTAGGTAATTGCATCTTGTTGTTAATGTTACGGTTTCTTGCATATATAATGCACTATTTTGCTATTAGTGGTCATGTTTTTCTTTTGATTACTGCTTTTATTTGCTTGAGCTGAAAGTTTCTTTGGAAATAATCTTTCTATCTCGAAAAAATAATAACAAGATCTGCATATATTCTACTCTACCTAGATCTTACTTTGTGGGATTTCACTAGATTTATTGTTGTTGTTGACCAAAGGCAAAGCTCATGCATAGAATTCTAAAGACTTTCCTCCTTTTTGCGCAATGTGCATTCATAATATAATTAGACAATCTCCAATCCATCTCTATTTTACTCTCAATTCTTTATATTTGGAGAATAAAATAGAGAATGGACACTCCAACCCACCTCCATATCACTCTCTATTCTTCATATTTTGGAGTGGGTGAATAGTAGTTTTCCAAATTTCGAGAACTACTATTCACACTCTCTATTTCACTTTTTGAATATTTTATTATTATTTCTATTACTTTTTAATTAACATATTATTTTACATATAATGTCATTAATTAAATATCTAATATTCATAATTCTTTTTAAATGTAATATAATATTTTAAAAATATATATATTATTTAATATATTCTACTTTCATTTCGAATTAATAGTATTTTAATTTTTTCTAATTTTCGTCAATAAAATAATTTGATTTTATTTTTAATTTTCACTATAAAGAATATACAAAATTAAAATGAAAAGATGAAAAATTTAGTTTAAAAATACGATACATAATATGATAATTTAAATACAAGATAACAATACAATATAGGGATAAGGGTTTGAAAAATATCCCAACTTTGGTCGGATTTGTTGTTGCGATACTAAACTTTCATAAGAACCTATTACCTCCCTAGACTATTTAATATCGTATTTTTTTACCCCATGAACTATTTAATAGTGTATTTTAAAGGTATATATGTGCCCACGTGGACACATTACTATTTATAATTTTACATTATTTTTTATGTCCACGTGGGCAAATATATATGTTTAAAATACGGTATTAAATAGTTTGGGGAGGTAATAGAAAGTTTAGTATCGCAACAGCAAATTCGACCAAAGTTGGGATATTTTTCAGACCTTTATCCCTACAATATATGACATAATAATTTAAATACAAGATAAAATACAATACATAACATAATAATTAATTCACGATGAAACAAGAATCATGCCGAAATGATGTTGAACGTGCATTCGGAGTTTTGCAAGTATTGCAGGACCGTCACGTTTTTGGAGAAAGGAAGTGCTACATGTATTATACTGCACAAGATTATAATAATTGAGGATGAACGTGATCTTAATTCACCATTTCAAGATATCGTAGAGGCTCCAACTCTAACGACAGAAATTGTGGTAGATGAAAATCTCCGATTTGAACAATTTTTTGCTAGACATAAAAAAAAATCAAGGACAAAAATGCTCATTTTGAACTCCGTAATGCATTAATAGAGCATTATGGGAGCAACGTAATAATTTTGAAAATGAGTGTTTATATAATGTTTATGTAATTGTATTTCACTTTTATTTGAATTTGTCCATTAATTTGTATATTATATAATATTTTCTTGCCAAAATGTTATTTAAAAATTTAGAATAAAATATAATTTTATATTAAATAAAAAAATTGAAAAATAAAATTTTATATCACATGACAATTATATAAAGTAATTATTGGAAAAAAGAAATAAAAAATTTATATTATAAAATAGGAAAATAAGAATGAAATAGAAATAATAATATAATATTAAGGAGAGAGAAAAACGATTCTTTTTTAAATAGTAAAATAGAGAATTGGATTGGAGTTGATTGTTTGAAAAACAAAGAACTCTATAGTTATCTATTTGGAGAGTAAAATAGAGTGTAGGGTTGAAAATGCCCTCACCCGATGATTTTATAAAGCATAATCTTTTTGTTCTTTTATGTTTTTGAGAATACACATCAAGTTGTCATTTATAGAGTGCTCAGGAAGTTGCTCCACTAAATTAGGGATCATCAAAATACTATTCTCTCTCGTGCGATTATTCGAATTTATTTGTTTGGCCAGTAAGTGTGTCTTATCCCAGAACCAACACATTATTATCATGAGTTAATTTGATTATCATTAGTTTAATTAGTCTTACTTAATTTTTGTAGGCGGAATGTCCAAATAAAATTTTGTACTTGATTTTGTTTGTCAGTTCGATCCTTCCACTCGTTATTTTGCTAATTGAATTTTTAAACTCATTAAAGCACAATATTTAATAGGGAAATTGTGCATTATAGCAAACTATTAATTCAAAATAAATTTTGTAGCTACAATTTAATTTAATTCCAATTCGCAACAAACTTCTTGCCATTCGCCTCTCTCTCCTCTCTCTGGAATCTAGCTCGCCACTCTCCTCTTTTTCAACCCTTTCTTGCTCGCCTCTCTCACTTTATACATAAAGCGAGAGAGACTGTATATACATATACCAATACATATCTCTCCGTCTTATACACATACAATTATACAAATACAAATCTTTCCCTGCCCAGTTCTCTTTGCCTTTCTCTCTCTCACGCTTTATACAAACACAACTATATAAAATATAATGTATAATTTGTGTTTGTATAAAGCGAGCGTGAGATTTGATATACAAATACAAATGTTTTAACTTGATTCAATTGTATACGAATTCAAATTTTATGCAGATATACAAACACAATCATTGATACATATACATAGTAGTTACATATATATAATTATCAAACCGATATACAAATACAATTCATCTCTCTCCACTCTCTGCTCTCCCTCGCTCGCCTCTCTCCTCTCTCTCCCAATCTCACTCGCCACTCTAGCCTAACAAAGATAATATATACATATATAAACACATTTTTTATACAAATCACCACAATTTTTATAAAGATTGGTGCGACTTATACAAATCAGATGCTCCATAGCAAACATATTTTGGCTATGGAGCACAAATAGCAAAACTGTAGCTATATTGCGCTAATATGATTTTTATGTTTGTTAATCCTAAAATTTACTCTTTAATATCCTTTTACGAATTACTTATTGGTGTGTATAATACAATTGAGTACACCTCAATTTCTACGTCATCAACAATGGTGTTGGAATAATTGGGGAAGAAGATTGTTATAAAGGTCAAAAGTTGTGGTTATTGCCTTTTCAGAAGGCCTCATGTGCTTAAAATGTGTGTATATTGTATCACATGTCCTTTGAATAAAAATGTTATATAAGATGATAAGTAAAAAAAAAAGTTTAAAATAGTGTTTTAACAAATTTAAGGATTTAGTTGAGATAGTAATGAATATGAGGGTTTAATTGACAACAAAATCAAGTACAATGATTTCTCAGGTCATTCTGTCATTCCTCTACTACTTGTACTTTGCCTCACCTAGTCCCATGTAACTCTTTTCTAACCCAACCCATTGTCTTAGATTTTCTTATTATTTGCAATTTTTTATTGATTTATCATTTCTCAGCTCTACTTCCTCTTTCCGCATGTACGCCTTTAGAAAACAAAAACGCCTATTCAAAGTCCAAATGCTTATGGAGTAATTTCCCTAGATAGTCACCCATGTTTGGGAAATTACCTAGAAATATCACTTATGTTTGTTTTAGGACCACAATATCACCCAACTTTACCTCTTTTCCTCAAAATATACTTGACACAAAAAAAAACATTATCTTTCTCCTAATAGGATGCCATGTCACATTATTCCTTTTTTATTATTAACATTTTTAAAAAAAAAATTAGACAACCCATATTACCTAGTAAAAAAAAATTACATAGCCCAAAAATTTCTACTCTAGTTATGGGGGATTAGGCAGCAAATCCAAATATGAGCTCCTCTGATTCTTCAAGAAAATATGTGGCTTCCTCCGGTTTTTCAAGCGAGATAATGTTTTTATATGGGCACTAATGGGCAATGGCACCTTTTTGTTGAGTCCGGAGCCAAAAGGACAATTTTTTTTCTTTAAAAAACAAAAACGACACAAAAAAAAAATAACCAAAAGGGCAAAATTGCTCCTGACAAAAATTGATGGCATTCCGCTAAAAGAAATTAAAATCGCTGACTTCACAAAAATTTTCTCAAAAAAATATTTTTTCT